TACATTGCTGTGTAATATTTCTAAAGCTCTGCCAGTCCTATGTACTATAAATTACTGTGTAATACTCCTAAATCCCTGCCCAGTTCTGGGTACTGTACATTACTGTGTAGTACTTCTAAATCCATGGTGATAAGTTCCCAAAACTATTTGAAATCTAAAATCTATGCATTTCATAAACAAAACTAGAAAACAAAGGAACAACCATATTTATTAGCTCTTAATGTACACTAAGAGTACACCAAACTTTTTATTAGTTTTTGTACAGAAACTGATTTGCTCTTTTAATATTCTACCTACAATGCTTTCTACCATATTCTAGCTTCATTCCTATACAATGGGTTCAAGTCCAAATGAATTATGTAACATGTAGCCAGGCACACTCTTATTCTTCCAGTTCCTCCACCTGCTGTTTGGATCGTTTTTTGGCTTCTCGTGCAAGTAGCCGTTTTTCACGTTCGTATTCTTTCATCCTCAAGATGTAACTGGTAAGTAGGTAAAACAAATGATTGAGATGACCATTAACAAACCATAAATGAAGTTATCTTCTAAACTGACACAAGTGAGTAAAATATACTGTAACCCTTTTTATATCAAAACATGCCTTTCTTGTTTCTTTACTTATCATATCCATAGTTATTCAGCAAGTTTCACACAAGTTAACAGTTTCTTAAAGCAAAAATGTATTTCCAATAATGCTTACCTTCGCTCACACTACAGCAATTACTCAACTACAAGGGTTTCCTTCCTTTACCCATTTAAGCTTTGGTCTGATTGTTTTCTCACTTGCTCCAGTATATTATTTTCCACTTAATTGACCTTGATGATATCTATCTCATGATGCTCTCCACTTATGTCAGTGCACCCTCTATCATGGTGCTGTATATAAGCACCTCATTCAGATAATATTATTATTTTTTCAAGACTGACTCTAAGTGGGGAGAAAGGGTGTGAGAGTTTGAGAAGAGGTAAGTATTATAGGAAATATATTTTTGATTAAAGAAAATGTTAACTTCCAGAACATAGTTATCTCTTCTCACACTATAGCTATAATCCCACATTGATAAAGTGGAGGGGATGGTGAGGGCATTATCTGTACAGAATGCATCTGCATAGATCACAGGCATGCCAATAGAAGATTAGCACCCTAGTGGGGGCACAGTACTACATCCAGAACAGGTATGTTCTTCACCCAGAACCCAATTCATGCACTGCATGTGGAATTTGACAAGATCCATCATCAATATTGGCCAGATCCCAACCAGACAGCCAAGGTTCCACTTCTCGGGATTGGAATTATAGGGCTATGGTCCCTAAATCCCACACTGGTGGCTAGGGCACTTGGACCACAATATATCCCAACCTGTAGCTATAGTGATGTATTCCATGCCACTTGAATCCTAATGAGAAGGTAAGCAACATCAAAGCGGACAAACCCTCTCCTCAACCTGAAGAAGCCTGAAAGGCAACATCTCAAACTCGGAATGAAAGGATCCTGTATGCCATACTTAACCTGAGGAAACAGAATTCTTCCAGTCTGGAATTATGAACACTCATACTCACTCCCCAACTGTGTGGCCAAGGTAAATTCCACTTGTTCCTGGAATTATGGGGAGGACATGGAAAAAACTGTGCTCAACCAAGGTCCTGGGATGGGACCACTTTGCATTCAGAATTACAAAGAGACAATGGACTTTCTTCTTCTATGAACAATGTACTGAACCAATATGGATCAAAAAGAAGGGCCACGCTCAACTAAACCAGATAGTCGAGTGTTAAATCTCAACTGGTATTATGAGTAGGTTCCCGTGTAGGCTGGTGCCTTTCCTACCAACATCTGGGAAAAAAACATTCAGGATCCCAGGTAGGAGGGGCCCCAACTTTGCTCTCTTCTCCAAGAGTGGAGGAAATTCACTCGAACACTCTGGAGGAATAACTTTTGTCCACCACCCAAGTGGCTGGAAACTGGGTGTGGTAAGGACTACCTAGCTCCACTAGTACAACCAGATCAAACATATATGTCTCCAACTCATTATGAATAAGGTCATGGACAGCCTCAGCTGAGAGTGACCTCTGATGCTAGATATCAGAGGTAGTATAGGAGAGATTTGATTTGTCTCTGCCAAAAACAATAATCCGGAATTCATGCCGTATATCAGCCTGCCAAATAAAAAATCATCTAGGTAACATGAAGAACACTCAAAGCATCTCCAATGGTTGTAGTACAGAGAAACCCGTTAGAGAACACTTTGTTGAGGAAAAGTGATAATATTATCTAAATGAGGTGCTCATATACAGTACCAGGTTAGAGGGTGCTTTGACATATGTGGAGAGTGTCACGAGACAAATATCACCAAAGGCACTGAAGTGGGGAATAAAAGACTGGAGCAAGCATGAAACAAATCAGACCAATTCTTAGATTGGCAAAGGAAGAAAACTGCAGTCAAGTAATAACTGTAGTGTGAGAGGAGGTAAGTACATTTTGGAATGTTACTTCTACATTTAAGAATCTACCTTTCTAGCTGTGTTTGATTTTCTATAAACATACAAGTCAAAGAGAAATTAGCACAGAGACTTTCAACTTCAGTTACCTGTTGTTATAGACAGTATGGTATAGAAAAGGATATCTCAGTTGTGACAGTGACAGGATGGTATAGAAAATGATATTTCAGTTGTGACAGTGACAGGATGGTATAGAAAAGGATATCTCAGTTGTGACAATATGGTATAGAAAAGGATATCTCAGGTGTGACAATATGGTGTAGAAAATGATATCTCAGTTGTGACAATATGGTATAGAAAAGGATATCTCAGGTGTGATAATATGGTGTAGAAAATGATATCTCAGTTGTGACAATATGGTATAGAAAATGATATCTCAGTTGTGATAGTATGGTATAGAAAAGGATATCTCAGTTGTGGCAGTATGGTATAGGAAAAGATATCTCAGTTGTGACAGTATGGTATAGAAAAATATATATCAGTTGTGAAAGTATGGTATAGAAATGGATATCTCAGTTGTGACAGTACATTATAAAAAGGATATCTTAGTTGCAACAGTATGGTATAAAAAAATATTTCTGAGTTGTGAATGTATGGTATAGAAAAGATATCTCAGTTGTGATAGTATGGTATAGGAAAGGATACCTCACTTGTGACAAAATTATATAGAAAAGGATATCTCAGTTGTGAGAGTATAGTATAGAAAAAGATATCTCAGTTGTGATAGTGTGGTATAGGAAAGGATACCTCACTTGTGACAGAATTATATAGAAAAGGATATCTCAGTTGTGACAGTATAGTATAGAAAAGGATACCACCTCACTTAGTTTTTAATCAAGCCTGTCCTACAAGCACTTTTTCAACACATGGTGTGACTATTAACTGGACAGAATGAGAGACACTAGATTTACAGATAAGTTTAAAAGTTTTTAAGTCATATCAATATGTTTTATTTAGTCCATCTCAGGTTAATTACCCTTGAAACCAAAGGTTCATCAATTTTGATGTTGCTCACTAAGGATGTTGGTGCTATAAAGATACAAGATTTTTCCAAGTTTCACATCCTAAGGTCAAATAGTTCTTATGTTAGAGGTCACCAAATATTTGTTCTGAAATGGCTCCCAGGTGATATCAGTAAAATAAAAGCATCAATAACATTTTTTATTCTTAATGCTACAGTAAAAAGTAAATTACTGCTGGAAAACACTTTATCCGTCAGACAAATATGAAATTTTTTCTAATATTCACACCCTTGACCCTTGTTTTTTAGTTGTTGACTGTTGACATCACTTTGACTGTCAACCAAGATGGATGACCATAATCAAGAGTTGATACTGAAGACCATCCTCTAAGTTTATACCAGGCATCAGCCTGGATTCACAATGGGATCAGGAGGTATCCACTCATCAAGTTGTGTCACTTTAGTTTTATGTGTGCTAAATCTAGAAATAACTGGAAAGGAAAAACTTAAAGAAGAATAGAGGGTTCAGTCAGTCTGTGAATAAACGTTTGTTGGTACTTTTATATCATTGGATCTCATCTGGGAGCCATGACGAGTTAAATATTTGGTTACCTGTCATATAAAAGCATTTGACCTAGAGTTGTGAAACTTGGTTAAATCTTACATCTCTATGTCACCAACATCCAAGCCAATTACCATCATAACTGGAAGAGGTCAGATCAGAATCCTTCCTGAAAAGACTGAAAGATATGGCACACTACAACTATCACCTAAAAAGATTATAAATAAATAAATAAAAACACTACACTGTTATCAACACAGGTGATGGACAGAAAATGACACACAACACTGTCACCTAAAGAAATGATGGAATACGTGACACACTACACTGTCACCTAAAGAAATGATGGAATACATGATGCATTAAACTGTCAATTAAAGAAATGATGGAATACATGACACATTAAACTGTCATCCAAGAAACGATGGAAGACATAGCACACTACACTGTTTCCAAAAAGACAATGGAACACATGGCATTATTACACTGTCACTAAACAGACCATGAGAGACATGGGACAAATATTCTGTTACTAAATATACTATGAGAGATATGGGACAAATATGCTGTAACTAAATATACTATGAGAGACATGGGACAACATACTGTTATTAAATAGACTATGAAAGACATGGGACAAACATAATGTCACTAAACAGATCATGAGAGACATGGGACAAATATGCTGTTACTAAATATACTATGAGAGACATGGGACAAACATACTGATATTAAATAGACTGAGAGACATGGGACAAACATACTGTCACTAAATAGACTATGAGACATGGGACAAATATGCTGTTACTAAATATACTATGAGAGACATGGGACAAACATACTGATATTAAATAGACTGAGAGACATGGGACAAACATACTGTCACTAAATAGACTATGAGAGACAGGGGACAAACATAATGTCACTAAACTGATCATGAGAGACATGGGACAGACATACTGTTATTAAATAGACTGAGAGACATGTGACAAACATACTGTTACTAAATATACTATGAGAGACATGGGACAAATATACTGTCACTAAATAGACTATGAGAGACATGGGACAAATATACTGTCACTAAATAAACTGAGAGGCATGGGACAAATACACTGTTACTAAATAGACTGAGACATGGGACAGATATACTGTCACTAAATAGACTATGAGAGACATGGGACATACATACTGTCACTAAATAGTCTATGAGAGACATGGGACAACTATTCTGTTACTAAATATACTATGAGAGACATGGGACAAACATACTGTTATTAAATAGACTATGAGAGACATGGGACAAACATACTGTTATTAAATAGACTATGAG